GTAATGATGCATAACCCCACATCCTGTGCACACCTATCAAGATCTTTTATAGTCGTCTAACCACATGATTTCGTGTTGCCCTAACGTTAATGATTTCCACGAAATGCTTTCTCTCTTATAATTACAAAGTTGGTCGCATCCTACCCTATCTTGGTTCGGCTGGTACCTAGTTGACCGTGAACTAGACAATGCGGGACGCTAGTCTATAGCACTACCAATAACTGGTCTGAATGTGGTCTCTTTCCCAATTTTCGCATTCATATCACCAAGTAAAATTTGAATTATTCTCCTTGGTATTGTGTTTAGCGTGGCCATAACATTTTCGTAAAAGAGGTCCTTTTCCTCTTGTCGTTTGTCTTCTGTAGGTGCATGTAAGTTAACGAAACTAATATCAAACCATTGTGTCGTCATAGTTAGGATTGATATTCTAGGGTTTACATCTCTGAAGTCCTTTATAGCTGGTATTAGGCTCTTATGTTGACGCGGCTTCGGCGGCATCGATGACGGTGGTGATCCGCGGAAGACCGGTCGCTAATGTGTGGTGATGAGGTGAGTGTGACGGTGTAAAAATAACACAAGAAAAGAACAAACAACACAGTTGGTCACTACTACGTTTATTGCGTTAAGATAGAGTAATAATAATAATAATAATGTCCGTCTGATTGACGAGCAAAGTGTCGGCGGGTATTCGTCGATGCGTATCGCACGGAGATCGATGAACGAGCGAGAGCCCGGCGGCGGCCGGTACTCGTCCGGCGCGACTTGTCTTCCCGTCCCGCCTAGCCTTTGGGGCGTGGATGGAGAGTTGACGGTGCCGCGTCGTTGTCACCCGTGGTGGTGGTTGATTAAGTCGTAGACCGGTCGCAACGGTGCCTGTACTTTGTACTGGCTGCCGCTGCGTACCGTGTCAATGTACTGCAAAGCCTGTACCGAATTGTCTTTGGTCATTACACTTCCCATAGAACACTGTCGTGTCTTGAATATCCACTGATCCTGAATCATTCCATCTAATTTCCTGTAGAGCCACCACTTTAAGTCTATATCTTTCAATTTCAGATACTACACCCTGTGCAGCTCCCGTCTTAAAAAGAGTGCGAACGTTCCATGTACCAAAAAGTAAAGCATTTTTTCAGTTTCCAGTCGTTTTTCCATTATCTCCACTTATCCGAGGCAAATTTGTATGTACCTGAACACAAAGTTTTTTTACAAGGCAGGGTTGTTAGCCCTGGGCCTCACCCCCAACCTGGAGGACCAGTCCACACCACCTAGTTAAAGGCAGTGTTGGACTATTGCGATGCACTGTCAAGGGCACGCCACCTTCCCTACGCCAAGAATAAAATACAATTTATAATATATAATAGTAGAGCATGTAGTTTATTATAATACAATACAGCTTAATATCGGTATGATTAATTTTACAATCTAATATTCAACAATGTGAGCAAATTGTATATTTTTTTTGTGACAATAGAGAGAACAAAATAACGTTTTAGTATTCGTACATTTTTATCGAACAGACATTGTAGAATATAATTTACAGATCAGGCGGTTTTCACCCGATTTTTCTTCAACGATCCCCAAAAATTATCTAATAAATCCCAATCGCTACCAGGAACTGCTGTGAACGTTGCTGATTAAATCATTTTTAATGATGGAAAATAAGTCATAGTAAAATAATAGACCTTATACTCGTAGACAGAGCATCCAGTAGTATGCGGGTTGGTGGTGTGGTTATTCCTAGCATGCCTGCAGTAATGCCATTTATTTCGACCTAACCTAACCTANTTTAATAGAACATTAAACGGAAAAATGAGAATATATTTTGAAGTTCAAAATTCTAAAAAATGGATTAAAATTTTACAAACATTATTAGATGAATATAATTTCAATGATATACATAGAGCTATCGGTATGAAACCTTGTGAAGTAAATAAATCTAACAAAAACAATGTTCTACACAAATTATTTTCTACAAAATATCAAAACTAAATCAAAAATTAAATTTAGTGTAGGCGATAGAGTAAGAATAAAAGCTTTTAAAAAAAATTTGGTAATAAAGATAGTAATAATTGGACAAGAGAAATATTTATAGTTAATGCAATTTTAAACACAAATCATATAACCTATAAAATTATAGATTTAAATCTAAAGAGGTCTAAAGAGGTCGAAGGGAGTTTTTATAACGAAGAAATGCAAAAATATGGAATATAATAAAGAATGGATGGATTAAATAAAATTGTACCCATAGTTAAAGAAATTGATAACAATAATAAAATGAATATCAAAAATTGTGATAAATGTAACTTAACASTTGATAGCAAAAATTGGGCTGCTCATTTGAAATCTATTCGTTATCAATATCATCAAGCCATATGGTCCTTAGACTCTTTCTTTGAACTAGTGCTTTTTCGCATATTTCATTAAACCATGGCTTCTTTATTTTTTTCGGTTTACCCAAAACTGATTCCGATATTGTCTTTATTGAATCTCTCACTTTTTTCCATCTTTCGTCAATTGACCTTATACTATCAAAATGAATGGTTCTCAACTGTTCATTTAGTCTGTTTTTAAAACCCCGACTCTTCTCTTCGGACGCTAACTTTGATACATCATATCTGTCCAGAATATTCCCAGTAGATCGAGCGGGATTTTTAAGTTTTACTTTAATTTTTCCTTTAACAAGAAAGTGATCGGAGTCACTATCTGCCCCTCTTACAGTCCGAACATCTTGAATACAGTTGCTGAATCTCAGGTTTATTAGTATATGATCAATTTGGTTTATATATTTTCCATCCGGTGAGCTCCAGGTACCTTTATGTATCGTTTTATGTGGAAACATTGTGGTTTTAACTACTAGACCTCTTTCAGTTGCCAAGTCAATTAGTCTTAGTCCGTTGTCATTACTTGTGTTATGTAAGCTATGGCTACTGTAGTGATCACGTCGCCTACAGGTATCAGTAGTCAAGGATGATGGTTGGAAGGTGACTCTTGAGTTAATTATACAACGTAGAATTCTTCTTAATTAGATTAATTGTCTATTTATTGTGGTAAACCATATATTTATTTATAACATGAAAGCTGAATGTAAGTTAAGTATTCTGAATGWTRRAATAAAYTCGGTTTGATTCGAATATTTTCTAAGTTCAAAATATTGTTTATAAGAAATTTTCTAAGTCCAATGAATTAAATTAAACAACAGACTGGCGTGAAGGTGCTCTGGC